CAAAAATTATGTAATACATATATATAAAACAACAGAAACCAGTAACTCAGGCTGCTTATGTACTACCAAATACAGGATTTTGTTGCTTGGATTGGACATTTAGAATAATGGTTCCATGAGACATCCCACTCCGTTAATTGGCCTAACATGTTTGGTGGTTTCTCTTAGTTTCTTGCAGTGTCTGAAGTCTTAAAATATTGCAAGTGGCCTTGAAATTATAGCTATTAGTCTCTATTTGCCTAGTCCAGCAAAATAATAAGGAGCACCTAGAACAGGCAAAGAAATGGAATATATATTTCCTCCATAATAGCAGCCTCTTTTTTTTTGCCATGAGACCAGAAATGGATGGTGCCTGGCTACCATTACAAAACATTTTGATCAAAGATATAATATCTTTATCAAAAAGAAGAACTTAAAGAATAAAATTTGAGATTCTTATAAGATCCAGACTTCCTGAAGTCATGGAAAGTGTATGAATCCCTGAAATTATTGCCCTAATAATCTTTATAAACTTTAAACGAAATACATTCTCTGATGTCTTCTTAAAAGCAAGTAATACTCAAGCATATTGGTGAAGACTGCCTGCCTGTCTTGAGTACTGGGCTTTACTGAAGACCTACCTGTATGGAATCAAATTTATGACAGCTACTTGGAAGTTGGGAAGCTCAGGGATAGTGAATTTGTTAAGGGAGCTTGCCATGAGTCACAGTTTACTTGATGCGAGCTAACAACAATAACTAATAACCACTCATTTTGGTTGTGTTTGTTTTTAATGTTCAGTAGCCATTTCAGTTTGTGAGTAGAAATAACATTATTACCAACATGATCTCAACCTAACGCTATATTGATAAAATTTTAAATTCTTATAAGCTCCAGACTTCCTGAAGTCATGGAAACTGAATGAATCCCTGAAATTATTGCCCTAATAATCTTTATAAACTTTAAACCAAATACATTCCCTGAAGTATTTCCCCAAATACTTATTGATTATTTAGTTAGTTTTATTTTAAGGAGCATATTATTAACGTAGTTGACATTCCTGTTATCCCTTGTGGTTTAAGTGCACAATGACTATAAAATTATAGTTTGTATGGCTTAAAAACATGATTTATATGTTGTAGAAAAGGCTATGCCTATGTTTCCTAGAGTCCTACAAACACATTTTGACATGTTCAGTTTGTTAGTTGGAAAAGTTAACAAAACAAATATGTGAGTATATATTTTATATTTAAGAAACTCTGTTGTGAAAATGGCAATACTACCAAAGGCAATTTACACATTTAATGCAATCCCAATACAAATACCAATCCCATACTTCAGCGAGATGGAAAAAGCAATCTCCAGTTTCGAGTGGAATGGAAAGAAGCCCCGAATAAGCAAAGCACTCCTTAAGACCAGAAGAACGATAGGAGGTATCTCACTCCTCGATTTCAAATCCTACTACACTGCCGTAGTGTTAAAGACTGCATGGTACTGGTACAATAACAGACACATAGATCAATGGAATAGAATTGAGAATCCGGAGATCAACCCATCTATCTATGGTCAACTGATTTTTGTCAAGGAGATGAAATCGATCAACTGGGGAAACGACAGCATTTTTAACAAATGGTGTTGGCAAAATTGGAAAAATATCTGTAAAAGACCCAAGCAAGACCCACACCTCACTCCATACACAAAAACCAACTCAAGGTGGATCATGGACCTAGG